GGTTCCTTAGAGGACATGTCCCGTTTTGTCTGGTAAATGGACTGGTTCTTATATACTGCTTTTGTATAACTTATTCACACCAGCACGTTTTTCTACAAGTGCTTTCTATCCAACATTCACACTCTGATGAATAAATTGGAGAGAAAAATTCATTCAACTACTCATTTGATTATTTTTCCACTGTGACACGATTACAGTTAATGTTATAAACCTCAGGCTACAGTCCGACACACTGACGTGAATCTGCTCCGCAGTCTGATCGTCCCACTGCTTCTGTGGGACCACCGATGACCACCGGCATCCTGATAGCTTGTGGTAGCGATATAATAGGCTAAACGTCATGATCTAGACCTGTACCTGTCTCTCCTGCGTTTTGCTATAAAAAAAACCCCAAAAAACAAACAAACAAACAAAAACAGCTGGTGGAAACAAAGTTAAAAAGAAAAACAAATTCAGCCACATTATGATCCAAATCAAAACTCAAACCACAGCTGCAGCACGACTGCTTCTTCAAATTTTAACTAACCACATTACAACACAGTTAAAAGCTTAACACGATAGATTAAAACCCCCAAAAGAATGATCCCATAAAACACCATAAGAGGCCCTTTATGGACTAATAAAATAGAGCCAGAGGACAAAACTCTATTGTTTGGATCCATCTGTTTTACAACCCAGCAACTAAGCAATTTGAACAGAAAACTTGAGCAATAAAAAGTTAAAGTTATTCTAAATATTATGCCAAAACATGTGAAAACAAAAGGAATATCAACAATATGTTATGGATAATAACCCTGAATTATCCCTGTGGGGAAAATTGGCAATCTTCTCTATAACTGGCAATTTCATACAATATGCCTATTCCCATTCTCTCTTGCTATGCTGCTATATAATCAGACTTTATCATCCATTCATTGCTTTCCACTTTCTCTAGTCTCTTACATCAGACGTTGAGAAAACGCTGCAACTTTTTAATGTAAATTCTGTCACCGGAGTGGAAAGAAACGCTCTTTAACTCGTGTTTGTGCGCTTGCAGCTTTCATCGTCTCGCTGGTGCACATGAATGAGTCATTTCTGCATCAAAAGCACAGCGAGACTGTAGTAATCTGTATTCACGTGTGTTCCTTACATTGTGGCAGGGTTGATGTATTTTCCAACACCTGCTTTGAAGGTTTTTGGCGCCCGCTCCTCTTTGGCTTTCTTCTGGGCAACGTTGGCCTGCTGTTTCTCCTCCTCCTGCTTCTGTAGCTCCTTTTCTCGCTCTGCGGCAATCTGAGAGGCAAAAATCATGTCAATCCACACAAAACTCACAGGATAGATGGGTTTGAGTAATAACTCTGACACAGGGCTGCCAGGTTTGTCAATATAAGAGCTGTGACCGGAGACTCCGTGAGCAGACCTATAAAAATCAAAAAGCTTATCTGCTTTACATTCCTCCGATCTCCTGTTCAAGGTCAACATCTCAGTCGTGTCCAAACAGCTGCTATTTTTAGACTGCTGACTAGAAATCCCATGCCGACTACTTGCACTGCACACTCTGAAGTTTACAGTCCGCTTCTTTTTCAAACTGACTCGACTTTCGAGGATCCTCACCGGCGATGAGAGCTGGCTCTGCGGCTACAGTTTTCAAGCTTGAAGGTAGCTTAACTTAAATCATTTTTTACTGAGCTCTGCACCACCAGAGTTTCTCGATCCTGAGGCATCTGAAGGAGAACGTTAGAGGAAACCAATGTGATCTGTGGCGCTGGTCAGTGCTGGCGCAGACTGTGTAAGAGGCCTCGAGCTCGAGCAGAGGTGGGAATTTTCTTTACCAGCCAGAAGAGGCAGAGTGTGATGGTTCTGAATAAAACAAACTTTTAAAACTGCTCAAAAGAACAAACTTTTCAAGAGGTTAGCACCATCACTATTGGGCAACACGCAAATCAACCCCCAAGTGCCACACTGTACACGCCTGTACACCTTAAGCCCCTCCCACAGGAACTACTTTATCTATACAGTTGGCATTTTCATTTAAAACCTCGATAAGGGGATTCTAGACTTCTCAGAAACACAAACTCTTAAGTTTGAAAACAGCACAAAGCTGTTTCCCTCTGAAACGCCTCTACTATAAACATATTTATGGTTTGACAGACACGTCATAGAGAAAAATTCAAACCTGTGCATCAGCTTCTTCATACGGGTCCACGAACACTGTCGTGCTTATGATCTTGATCTCCGACTGTGGAACAAACAAACATTAAAGCATTAAATGATGTGGAAATGATAAAGCATGTAGCTTCTGTTACACACTCTTAATCCAGGTTAAAATATGTTCTAGTTAGAATAAAAAAATACTGGTTGAAAATAAAGGGTCTAAATTCATAACTAGTCCAATTTTTATTCATTGATTTAACTTTAAGGTAAACTTGGAAAACTGCTGCTGGATTTCTTTGTTGTGTACAGCTGTTAAACAGAACTCTCACGCTCCCTGCATCGCTTCTAGTCCCAGTATCTGACCTTCAGGTGATCTGTGTATCCGTGGCATGACGTCTTGTTCTCCTCAGCTGCTTTTAATGTTTCCGATCCAGAAACTTTAACTCATTTTAAAACTACAGCTCAACCATTTAAAATGTAAAAAATCGGACATACAACAAACCCGTGGAGTGATACGTCTTTTCATACATTTACAAGCAAAAGCCAACCTCATACCTCACTGCTTCATACCTTTGGTTTGTCTGTTTTGGGATCGCTCTCCACGTTCTCCATGGCTGTGAGAGTCTCAAATCCACCGACCACCCTGCAACAGAAAAAACACAACACGTCCTTCATTTTATACGCTGCCGAGTCCTGACAAAGGTCCGACCTTTGCCAGGAAGAGGATCGTATCTGTCGTAAATCATGAAAATGTAGCCATGAGAGACTCAGACTGCTGAATAATTCATTCCCAGTTTTATCATTTAAAATGACACATCCATGTTAAGAGTGATGAGAGAGAGGAGCATGATGAAGCTTACGTCGCCATGAGCTGATCCATCTACATTAAGACAGCTGAACTGTGATTGCCCTGCGCTCACCTTCCACTGCAGGAGGGTGTCTGACTTTAACCTTCCTTTCTGACTGATAATGAGTTGATTCATTTCACACGTGTAAACACCAACAGATTCCAGGAATTTAACCTGCAGCTTTTTTAATGGCCAGTCACTGACTGACGTGTGGGCTCGGTCACTCCTGGACTGACGCCTCTCACGTCCAGTTTCAGGACAATTCAAAACGAGTCTTCACAAACCAACAGGCGACATGTTTCATACATCCATGTGTTATGGATGAGCACAGTGCAATTACACAATGATGATATATATATTCAGGCTGGGAACTAGGGGTGGGGGAAAAAATCGATACTGTGTAGTATCGTGATATTTTGTTTGCTAATAATGTATGGATACAGGGACAGCAGAAATCTATATTTTGTTACAAAAAAGTGACTTCAGAGCATGTTGATCCTTTTTCTGAGCAAGAATCCTGACATTCCTTCACTGTCCAAACATGACAGTTTACTTATTTTAATTTAAGACATGTTTTATTTTAATTAAGTTTAAAACTTTTTTATTTAATGTAAAATTATATTTTGTTTTAATTTACTTTCAAATTCTTCAGTTGCTGAAGGGGCTGCATAGTTTTCATAAACTGCATAGTTCAGAATAGCTATAATTGTACCAGATGGTTGATTCAGTTAAGTTGGACTAGACTGTAATACAAACCGTTCAGTTTGTCAACAATAAAACTGAAATGAGAGAAAGACTGAGTGTGAGACTTTGATATTAGATAAAATGAATATTGATAAAGTTTACCTTTATGTACAGAATCTGAATATCGCAAAATATTTTTAAAAATTGCAATAATATCGTATCGTGCGTTAAGTATTGTGATAATATCGTATCGTGAGATGTATGGTCATTCCCACCTCTACTGGGAACCTACTTCATCATGAAAACCCATCAGCTGGGATTCTTCTATCGGCATCGAGAGTCAGTAACGGAGGACGAGCTTGACTTGATTTGTAAAACTCTTTCTTTAGCTTGCATCCAGCCTTCAGCTGCTCCCCTGCTCGTCCTGTTGACCATTGGAGTGACTAATTGTGGGTTTCTACCACAGCTGTATGAATGCCATCATCATCATCTTATTTGACATGAATGCACCATTGTAAGGTTATGACTGCTACACATGCCAAACCTCACACCAGGATTTCTATCATTTTGTACTGGCAAATGTATTTCAGCTTATTAGAAACTCTGATGAGTCTTTCTGGAGCTGGAAACTCTGCAGTTTCCCATCATCACAGTTAATCGACTCAGAGTTTAGGTGTAGATTCTCATGGAGACTCTCAGGCCCCTGAGAGGTGTACGCCAAAGGAAGTTCAACACAGCTGGACTATTTTGTGTTAGCTGGCTCAACAAAATCTAAAACCGCAGCTTTCAGATGGTGGTTAGAGGCAGCTTTCTGCTTCAGGCCCTGTGCTTGTTTCACACATCAATCCTGAGCGCTGCCTACTCCAATCACACATCATCAAGTGATGATGATAAAATATTATAGTCAAAATATTGTAAATAAGAGATTAACGCTGTAGAAAATTGTTAAATTGTTGGGATTTAGTGCACAGAGCGGTAAAATAAATATTTTAATTCAAGTTAATATATTCTAATTTTACAGTTTATTTGTAACTTGATCCCTCTACACTAGGGCTCTGAAACTTCAAGCTTTATAAGTAAAACTATAACGAATACTGTTCTGTAGATGTGGAAATTTGGTGGTTTCAACAAGATGCACATATAAAACACGTTTACATCAGATAATCTATGCAGCACTTAAAATCATGCTGTAATCAGTGAAAACATGGCACCTACAGACAGTTTATACTGAAACTCTCTGATGACACAGAAAAACAATTCAAGCATTAATTAAATATAGAATAAATATATATATATATATACATGAACTCATCATGAAAAACAAAAAGGTAAACGTGAATTATTATGCCAGTGTGTCACGCAGCTTAGTGAATGAACATCTGCACATGGGGACAGCTAAATAAGCTGTGAACATCAGCAAACAGCTGCTTTTTCAGTTTAAACCTATAGAAACAGAACAGCGTTTATATGGAGTCAGGCTCTGAATCGAAGCCCAGTACTCACTACAATTAATTCTGCTTTTAGACACTTCCAACTCTGCTGGAAAAATCGGGCTTTTTGGCTGATAAACACTCAACTAACCCTGTCTCCATTTAGTGCAGAGCATGTAAGGTATTCAGAAGCGTTTTGAGCATTTTCTGTTAAAAAGCTGGTTTCTGCAGGCAAAAATGACTCAGGGAGCAGTGAGTGTGAAATAAAATGGAAAGGTTTGGGTCCAGGCAGCCAAACAAAAAGCTGACTGGCTGATAAAGCTCAGTGAGGCCAGGAGGAGCTGCAGGTTTAGCTGATAACACTCCTCGCTGGATTCATCACTCGAGCTTTGTCATGTTGTTTTGACGTAGTCTGTCAGTGACTCCCGTGGTGCAGAGCATTTTAAGAAGTTGCTCTCACTTCACTCTTTAAACTGCAAACTCTTTCTCCAGCTGCTTTCATACGTTCAGGCGAACCGATGAGCACAAACACTTGATGACTCGCTGACCTGCGGCATCAGATCAAACTGTAACGTTTTAAACTTTTTTCCTACCTCCCGGTGACCCGACACATTGTTTTTATCTCTAGGCCTTCCAGCTTGAGCCTCTTTTGCAAATTTACATTAAGATATAAATTAAGATCCCACCTGTCTGCACAACAGGCACCTGCAATGTGAACAAACATCCTCTATATAAGATACAAAGAACCAGCATTATATAATCGATTTTCAAAATAAAATCATTTGCCAGATAAAATAACACAGAGGTGTTTGGGCTAATCCAGCGAATGGCAAATCATCAACAACACAAACACATCATTTTTACAGGAAGAAAAACACTTCATCAATTAGTGAATTAAAATTAAAATTAATCTGAAATACTTCTGACAATACAACGATCCTGTCACTTTTCAGGAAAAAAATATTGTGAAGCCAGAATTCACATGCAGATTAATAATAATAATAATAATAATAATAATAATAATAATAATAATAATAATAATCGATTAACTGAGAAAATAATTAACAGCAAAAATTCACCATCTCGTAGCTCCACTGCCTAACATGTCGAGATAAAACCAGATAGAGTCATAGCAACAACAATGTTGCGACTTTCATCCGGAAATAAAGCCGCGGCCGGCTGAGTTGGTTGTGTCCTTGTGACGCGCCTCCAATAATCCATAATGAGTCGTACTTGTACTTTGCGCATTTATTTTAAGAACAAAACAAAAAACAAAGTTTGCGCTTTCAATCAATTTACAAATAGCGCATGGATTAACTGGTGTGCCAAAAAATGACGGTCAACAGAAAAGTTTGCCCACAAACCACTCACCCAACAACACCTGCTGCGAACAACGACATCAGGTAAATAGACTGTGACCACACCCACATGCCATCACCTGAGACGCAGGTAAAGCTACACACCTGTGCCACCATAACAAAAAGGCAAAACATAAACATTAACTTTGGCTCTTACAAACAGTATACTGTGTACTATAAAGAGTGCATCTTCTGCATCTTCCCATGTTCATGTCACAAACACCGAGGCTAAAACAGCATGAGGATTAACACGTCAGCCCAGTCAAAAAATAATGCACACAAAAATATATCATAAGTCAACCCAGAAAACTTCCAGCTCCAGACGAACCCGACAGAGTTTTTGTTCTGTATATAAAGTTTGGAGTGCTGGTGCTATATCTGAACATCCCTCATTAAAATACAGTCAGAGACGTTTGTTGCATATCAAACCCCAAAATTTCTGTCTTTCTTCTAATAAAGGAAGAAAAAAACCCTTAACATTTGCAAACACACAAAAAATGCTAATAAAAGAAACCAAAGAGCTGCATGAGAAAAAAAAAAAGACTCCTGGTTTCGGCTACATGAAGTGATGCCTCCGTGTTATACGATTCATTATGGTCAAGCAAAACAAGACATTTTAAACGTGACCCTTTTTTAAGATAAATAAAT